CCCCCCCCCCCCCCCCCCCCCTAAGCCAAACAAGGAACGATTCCTGCGACGTGACGTCCTCCTGACCCATCTATCCACCCCCTGCCGAAAGAGTGCTGGTACAATAAAACAGCACCAAACCTTGAAGGTATAAGTTTCCTCCCATGCGACCCAGCGGTTATGCAAGACAGCAGTATTAATGACATGTATAGAAATCGTCTTTGGTACGTGGTATGGATGGACTGCTGTATCCCTCTTAGCACAGTACGCGCCCTCATCCTTTCTTACTCCGGGGGGGGGGGGGCACGCACAGGGTCAGAACCCCCTCCCGAGCCCTAAACATACCCATGTGCGTCGCACACGACCTGCACAAGCCACCACCCCTCCGCCTTTGGACAACTCAAGCGTCCAATCATCCGGGACCCCAGGAAAGCCACGCCCCGAAAACCAACTGCAGTAGTGGATTGGTCCATCAAATACTCACCACTTGCTCGCACCGATGTTTATGACTAAGGGAGACAAACAAAAATTGAGAAAAGAGCGTTGACCATCAAACAAACCACTAGGGCAACAGAGAGAGACTCACCGCAATATCGTCCATGGCCCCGCCGGCATCCTCTACCACGCGCTCCACGTGGCTCATCCTACTCAGCATCGCTTCTGAGTCTGCCTTCATTTGGAATTCCTGCACCCACACAAACGTCCGAGTAGTGGTGCAGCAGGTACGCCAAAGAGCGATCCCGTGTAGGAAGCGTGTTCAGTTCAACTCTCGCTTCCTCGCCAAGATGAGCGATAGGATGTTTTAGTGTGTCTTCTTCCTGCAGCGGTAGTACTACTAAGTGTGTTTTATTGTTTGTCTTTTGAGCGCTACACAACTTCGCAGGCCGTAAGCACTTGCCCCGCTCCCGATACCCCCCCCGCCCCCCCCTCACCTTGCGTGCCATCTCAGTCTTGACGCGCTCCGCTACGGTGTCCGATAGGATGCGAAAAAACGCCTACATAACAAACACGGCAGACGTACAAGCGACAACCGGAGGGGAGACTTGTCAAAGCAACACGTCAGGGTTCTGCTATCATAGCATAGAGCACGAGCCGGGGGCGACGTACTGTACACGAAGGAACGTAAAGCTACCTCCTTCATTACATCTTTCAGCTGAAGCCACACAAAGTCTCGGCAGAGCGTCCCAAACAAAAATAAAGAACAAGTTGCAAACACAACAAAGTTGCCTCCCATAAGGGCCGGCCGGCTCTTGAGGCGTAGTTTCTCTCACCTCGGATGCAAGTATCTGTCCGATCATCGGGTCGTCGCCGCTGCCGGTGCTGTTTCCCACGCACACCCAGGACCCGACAAAGAAGAAAACGATGTGGGGGAGAAAACGGAACGGAAAAAAAATGATAAACGGGAGTACAGCAAGTATAGGTCGTGGGCAAATCAATCAACCACAACAGCGAGCGAATCTCCGAAAAGCTAGAGGTGCGGTCGGTGCGTCCCCTTTACCGCTAACCGCTGTCGTGTCCCACCACTCGCCTCCTACTACATGCACCACTCACCGTTTGCCCTTGTCCAACGCCTTGCGAGCGTTGCCCGACTCCGATCCAGGCGCCCAAGTGTTCGAGGGAAGACCGGAGCCGCCAACGTTTTCCGACAACAGCGAGGCGTGGGAGCCTCTCCGGGTCAACTGGGTCTGGGTTTCCAACAGAGGTGGGGGGGGGGGNTGAGATATTCGGCGAGTCGCATGAAGGGTGCGCTGCATCCTGTTAAGGGTGTTCGGCATCTTGTGCTTCCTTCCTTGCGTACGGATGACAGCTGCGTATGACTTATTTACTTTTTGGTGCTTCACTTCCAGAGACAGTTGTTAGCACTGTGTAACTGCCTCGAGGGTGCTTGACCATTTCAACACAACGTGGTGCGACCATCCCCCTTGCGCGGAGTGAGGGTTCTCCACCCCGCACAACATGATATACTCGACCACCATTATGTTTACCGCCAAAAAAAAAATAGAGGTAAAAAAAACAAACGGTAATCTGGTTGCAGAGTTCACGAAGTGAGTTGGCTTGTTTTACAACGTCGTTGCCAATCGACGAAAACCCAACCCCGATGGCAAACACCGGGGGGGG